GGTATTCTCACCGCGGTGCAACAATAGCACCTCCGAACTGGTAGCCTGTTCGGACAAAGCCTGTGGTACTGGTGATTTTCTCTTCCATATCTGCTCTGTTTCTTTTCTTCGTATCTGCAACATCGGCTCCACGACAACAGTTGCAACCGAATTTCAATCTCAACGTAATTACTTAGTGGAAATAATACTTGCTAATTGGCGACAATAATTATTGGACTGCTCCCACTCTTTCGAGATTTCTGGACCACCTTCATGATTCTCTCACCTACTGATCACGGTTCTTTTTGCAACCAGCCACCCAAACTTTCCCGAAATTATTAGTAGCAGAGACATTCTGAACAAGTGATCAAACCACAGACCGATTTTCCTGTTGGCTCCGAACGAGACTTACATGCTGCAGCTCCACACTGCATACTCTCTGGTACTGTATATCAAGAGATCTTTTCATATGAAAGTTGCTATGCATCAAATACACTTCTCGAATGATTCTCCCCACACATACCTGAGGCCTATGTAGAAATACTGTTGTTTGGACTATTGACCGTTTCAACGCCTACTTACATGCGGCACAACAAATATTCTTGGCGGAATTAATCTATATTACCTTTAAACGTAACATAGTGACCTGGGAATGCTTTGGTCTAGACACTCACCTTGGTTACATAACTGTGGATACTTGCTGATACTCCAGGTCACAAAAATGCCTCCTTTATGGTTAGCAAGGCTACAAACTGAGGAACGTTCTAAGGAATAGGTGGCTGTATTACAAAACAACAAACCATGCAAATAGGCTAACCGTCACCTGGTTATAATGCAAACTTTGAACATTGCGCGCTTTTGTTTCTAATAGTTTAACCTGTCTTTGTGATGGAAGAGGAAAATCCGTGCCCGTCTTATGAGTTTCGGCAAGCTTCAATATGATTACGCACATCAATGACTTGATATGTGAATTATTGAAAACTAAATACGGTTTTGCAAACTTTCGGAAATTATCATTTTGACGATGCTTGTTAACTGGTATCCCACACGTCAAATCCATCATATGAGGATAATATTTGTTATTGTCTAAACTTGAACACTGCATATGCTGGAAAGTGGTATTTTCTTATTCGTTCTACGACTAGCAGGATCTTCTACTGTTTTCAATAGAGTTTAATGACATTCCTTGCTACACCATTCAGGACCAGCAAAATCTTGAGGATTTTTCGACATATATCAATGTGATAGCGTCTATAAACTGGCTTCTCTCATGCTAGGTTACTAATTTGAGAATAAAACATTTATTTATTTATTTAACGCTCGTGTATACCAGCAGTCTCTTTGAGAACACCGAATCGTCCGAATAACAGCAACGGGAAAGGGTATGCCCCACAATAAGACTAGACAGCTTAGATGCAAAGCCATGCTGACTCCACAAAGACAAAAATTCGCCTCAGGGAAAACCTTGCAGACGAGAGCGACCCCAAGACCGGCTAAGGTGGCAAGAAGATTGTTGCTGCCACAGACATTGGCCACCAGCGTGTCGTCTAAAGTTATTTCTAGGTGAGATCATCCATGGTCTGCTAGAAAAATACATCAGAAAGCGCCCCACACTCTGAAACCAGTGACCAGGGCTATCCGTAGTGTACCAGAGCTAACAGCCGACACACTGGTAGAGAAGCATACTCATGATGTCCACCAATAAGGGCGGTTGTCGGGCCAGATACGGTTAAAAGGGGTAGCGGCGGTAGGGGTCTAGAGGCTCTCATATTTCCTACATCTGACAACAGTAGCACCCCCGTGGTTGACGGCCATTAATCTCGCTGCGACGATTGCAAACGACGGTCCCTTTTTATGTTGAGGTCACTACCGCTGTGAATGGACAAGCCGACATTCAGACCAACCTTCACTCTAAAACACCACTGGCGACGTCTGCGGTATAAACCTGACCAGGCTGGTTCCAAAGTAATTTTCTCCATTACACATCGAATTATTGCTTCTGCAACCATCATGACACTTCAGGCTGTTCGAGGAATCTTCAAGCGTCTTTAAGGCGGTGCACGGCACGATGGTGGAACAATGGTTTCTCTGTCCACATCTTACTCGAAACGATGTGATCCCGGCAGAGGCCTGGTTACTGACGGATATGGCAAATATCGAAGTAAGCAAAGATAGCACGCATCCACTGGGATGAGGCGCAGATAGAGGTAATGATGCAGTATAAAAATGTATACGGCAGATCACATCAAAGGTGATTGACATAAATTAACCTCAAAGCCGAAGCTCCCAGATTTCTTGCGGTGTCACTAAAAATTCACAAAAAGCGAGCCAAACATAGAAAGGGTTAGAACACAGCTAATGACAAAGAAAAAAGCAAACAAATAACTGACATACAAAACAAAACTTCCTGGTGCAAAACTGACAGACGCAGAGGCCAGCCACTGATTATTTGCACTTGTTATATGCCCACGAATACGAGACCAAGAAAGAACACAGTAACATAGTAAGATGGAACAGTGTATTTGCAAGGTCGTATCAAGATACCGATACATTCCAACTAACTGACCAGAGAGTCGATTACGAGCAGTGCAACGTGAGAAGACAACGCGCTAAATGACCTGGATGCTTGACCAGGCGCCTTCGGCTTGGTGGTAAAGCCATTAAGGTCAGCATCAATGTTGAATCTCGTCGAACCCTTAGACACTGGTTCTGGATCTTTGTGCTCGCGGGAAATCTATTGGCGTTTGCCACTGTGGTTTTCGCCCGCATTGTCATAACTGGGAATTTTAATGCCTGAATTCTTGACCTTTGACAGGAGTGTGGCAGTATCTATTCGAATGTTCTCGCAGTGCCTAGTCAATTCGTGTAATGGTATGGTCTTTATGTGAATATTGAGAATGGTGCTGTCCGTGATTTTGACGGAATATTGCCCAGACTAGACTATCTTCTCATTTGTGATCATCTTCTGCCAGAATTCACTGGGGTCGAAACTCTTCTTGACTGCAGTAATTATGATGTAGCAGTGTTTGATCTAGCGCCTAGTGAACAACTATCATGAGAAGGATCCCACCCTTGTCTTTTCTTCTGCACGGCAAATTACATGGCGATGAACTAATATCTGCAAACAGCTTCACGGTTCCAGGAATGAACTATCTAGCTGAATAGTAGGCACTGAGAATTTGCGAAGGGTTTCATTGGGAGGGCCGTCCCTGAAAATTTCACAGTAGTTACGACAATGCCGAATAAACAAACCTCATGAGCGAAGCGAAACATTGAACACCTCAGGAAAGCCAAGGGATATGAATGTTATAAATGTAGGGCGACGAGGGAAAAGCCCTATGAGGGCGCATATATGCCTGTAAGAGACCACTGCGTCATAGAAATGAGGGTGGGTAGGAGATCGTTTCACTCAGACATTGGCCAGAAGCCTGAGGTGAAGCCCAAAAGCCTATGTCAATTAATGGTGGTGAGATAGGCTACAAGCTGGAGGGGCTTGCATCATGAAGGGTTAGAACGGAGGAAACCCCTGAGGACTGAAGATGGCTGAAAACCTAAGCACCACCTTCCACACACGACTGAGCATTCCACCATCCAACAAAAATAATTGGCCGTCTGAAAAAAGTTCAACACTATTCAGTGTAAAAGAATTACTTGGAATGGAGGTAAATTTTGCTGTGGTTTTCGTGTATCTGCTGAGGCTTCGTGCAGAAAAACTGCCTGGGTGTGCGACATTCGTCCGCTTGTGTTGAAGCAATGTCGAGGTGCACTTTATGGTCCTCTCCGCAATCCGTTTCACCATCCGTGGACAAACGCGTGCTCCCGCGAGAATGGAAACCTGTAGCTCTCTCATCCATCCTCAAGGGAGGAGATAGGCAGAATCTGAAAGTGATGGAGAGACTGGTGGAGAGTACTTGGACAGAAAAGGAGCGCTAAGTGGTGCTGAACACGGTTTCTGAGAGGGTGGGTCCCGAGCCTCAAGCATTCTGGCAGCCAGTGACATGTGGATGGAATGCTAAGACCTCCAAGTCCCTGACCATGCGGTTTTCTTGAATGTTGTCAGGGCCTTTGACAGAGTCTCACACATCATTCTCATGAGCGAAACAGCAACGTTATGAATCAGAGGTCAGTTGCTCTCCTAACTTCAGGGGTATTTGGACAGAAGAGCATTCCGCGCAGAGGTCAACAGGGTTTGCTTAACTCGTAGAACAACATTACCTGATATATCCAGTGGAGCTATTCTGGGTCAGCTGCTGTCCATTCTGTTTGTGAATTACCTCCCATTGAGTCTCAACTCTCTAATTCTACTTTACCCTGACGACGTCAATTTGTGGAAAGCTGTGACATCCGAAACAGAATATAATGCTCCGGGAAGTTATCACAGATTGCAGATTGAGTGAATAACAGACTGGAATCTAACCAGATAAATGCCGAAAGATGCTTCCTCTTACCTCTGACTTGCAGAAAGTATCCAGCTTTTCGCATGGTACACACTTTTCACATAACCACGGAGAGGGATCTAGAACTAATACTGACAGACAAACAAGGCACCGATTCCAATTATCACGGACTCGCCTCCAGAGCTCACACAGTACTGCACTATATGCACATGCATCTAGGTGCATTCACACAGGAACTCTTCAATAATCGGTCCTCAACGTCACTGCACCACCATACCTGAAAAGATATGTGAGCATCCAGGAGAAAGTCTAGAGGCCAGAAGCAAAGGGTACTTTTGGGATGCGGCAAAAACCTTTGGCGATCTTTGCACTTCCTTTCTTTCGAGTGGGTACCCCAACTGCACTGGAATCCACAAAGGACCTGGAATCATTACCTGAAACTTAGAAGTTGACACGAAGAAATCAATTAGCTTATAGTGGCTCTCGTCAAAAGGCATCGTATACTGGAAGTTCCCACTAAAAAAATGCGTACCTTTTTCGTTGATGCAATTTATATTTTTAACTGTTTAAACCGGTCCAAGATAGGCATGTAGCTAAAGCGCAAGATTGAGTGTGGGCGTTACGATGCGGTTATGTGTGTCACTTTCCTCAGCCTTAATAAGACGTTGTGTTAGTCTCAGTCTTCCTTGTCGTACATATACAGTTGGTAGACCTAGATACCTAACTGGTCATGAAACTAATTTCGGTCTCAGGTGAGTCCACTATGATCCTGTTCATTTTTACATTTTCTCTTATGCCCTAACATATCGTTTCTTAGTGTCACTGAGTGCTTTTTGATTGCATTTTAGTTAGAACAGGTTAATTAAGACAAGCCAGCTGGTTATACGACTGTCCCTAGTGTAACTAAGAGTCATCCTAGCCAGCACTTTGGGCGTACTTGTAAAGTTTTGGTCAAAGCCCCTAGAAAATAACTAGTGTGCATTCAAGAATGCGTAACGTCTCCGAGAAGTCAAAATTTTCCTGCAGAAATTGTCTAAACCTTCCGGATAGGCCTGGAGTCTGGGAGGAGTCACGTCACCCTAGTCTACAAAGTCAAAGTTTGAAATATTCTCCGACGTGGCATTCCTTTTTTTTAATAGGATGGGTTAGCACTACCTGGGAACCCTTACGGTGTACTTTTTACCAAAAACAGCGGAAAATTTAGGGGACCCCAGAAGTTCGTAAGGGCTTCCGAAGTATGTTTAGGATAATGCCCTTGGTTTCCAAAGCGCACTCAAACTTGGTGCTAGAAGAGATGCTTCTCTGCCACCTTAAAAAACTCATGTACACACCTCGCTTGGCTAGTGTAAGTTAGATTGTTTAAAGGTATTTATTCAGCAAGGACTGGAATAGGTTGCTTAAGTTTCAAGAAATGAAATCGTTCCGTTACTACTTCGAATTGCTTTAAAATATTTTGTACGTTGTTTACCAATGTTGACTTATTTGCATAACAGAAGACTTTATCAATCTTCTTGATCATGTTATATCTTTTCTCATGAATCCCAGTGTTGTTTTTGTTGACCATCAAGTAACATCTAGTTTAGTGACAATTATGAGGCAATACAGGAAGTCTGACTCAATGGTCAAGGATTTAGAGGCCAACTGATGCCTTCTGTCACACTCTAATAACGGAATCTCAGCAATTAACAAGCCTTTTTCATTTCAGTCTGTTTATTAGAAATATCACACAGTGAAACAGTAGCATTTACTGGATAACGTTTCAGACAATTTATTGTCCGTATTCATATCAGGTAACTCCACAACTTCGAGACAGTCTTTATACATTCCTAGTTTTCTCTCCTTCTCTGTGATGACAAGGGTAGTAGAATTTTACATATATCTAGTCGATTAGAATAACAGAGCACAAAAACTAAGCTAAAACAAGATCAGTAGATCCTAATAAGATAAGAAATCTAGAGAAAAACTCGGCTATAGCTCTGCATGCAATGACACATAGTCACACAGTAGGGTGGGATAGGGTGACAGTGTTGAAAACTAACTTAGTTGGGTGGAGGGAGAGATTGATGGCCGAATCTTTGTTTATCGAATCGATGCCAAACACATGCAATCGAAATGATGCTGCACCTGTCCCAGATATATGGAAAATTCTACTACCCTTGTCTTCACAGAGAAAGAGAGAAAACTAGGAATATATAAAGACTGTCTCGAAGTTGTGGAGTTACCCGATATGAATATGGACAATAAATTGTCTGAAACGTTATCCAGTAAATGCTACTGTTTCACTGTGTGATATTTCTAATAAACAAACTAAAATGGAATTACACTCGACCACAGTGCCCAAATTTTACACTTATATTAACAAGTCTTTTTCCTGTTTACCTCATTACTGTGAACTGGTTAATTCTATTTTTGGAAGGAATCTGAAATGTCAGTCTTACAGATAATGTGAATATGCTATAGAAATGGACTTGAGAGAAACAAATTCTTTTTGGCATGCGTAAATGTGAAGTAGTGCAGATGGGTAGACGTTTAGTTTATAGCTCAGGTTCATTCTAATATTGCGTAGGAGTTAACGGTGATCATCTCTGTTCCTCCATGTTTCCAGTCATGAATTCAATCTACTGTTAATGCTTTATAAGTGGTTGACACCAAAAATGCTAGTAACAGTTCGCAATTTGTATGAATAGGTGGGTTTGGAGGCTAACTCAACTATTATGCCAACTAGTAAGTTCTCTTTTCAGCACCGGCGCTGGCTAATATTTTTTTGTCAGTTGATACTAAAAGCCCGTATATTAGAAACAACAATAAGGTTTCCTACCTAACTGGCTGTAATGCCTAACGTTGTTTTTTTTAGATCGTATGCGCAAATTGTTTGTAGCTCTAAGGATAGTGGAAAAGCATTTCTTGCCTCGGGAAATTTAGATTTTAAGCATGTTCCTCATTGTTTTGCCTGTTATAAAAATAAAAAATACTTCCGGACTCTGCATGTTAGAAAATTAGTCAACAAACGATTCGCTTGTAATTTATCCTTTGAAGGACAAAATATAGTCCCGCTGTTCAGTTTATCGTGTTTCATAACAGCATTTAAACAAGTGACTAGCAGAAGAATAATATCAATTATACAAAAGTGTATAACAAGAGAAGACAACAAAAGATGTGTACGTGTTTGCAAATTTAGTTTAGTCCAACCAACGGGTCATTCTCCATTACCTATCAGTAATACTGTTATACACACCTTTATATTTTTACTGTATGTGCATCAGCAACCACGTACAAACCCTTGTAGTAGCCGACGAACTACATCTGGTGCATGGCGCCTTGGCTAAGGTATTCAACTTCCAAACAGTGGGTCTGCGGCTTATCCTTCCCTACCTACTTCGGCTTCAGCATCCGGTCAGTATCAATTCCCCACACATGAAGTGTGGCTTAGTCTAGTATATGTGCATGTACCGGGTTGAGTTGCACCATTGTGTTATTATTATTATGCCTCCTGATGTATCACTACCTACTAAAACCTAGGTAAGTAAAGCAAAATTCACACCCTTTTACTTTTTGACAGATTAATGTATTTTTTTCGATGGTTCCACAACTGATATCAGTCCATGATTAATACTACTTCTAGAAAGTTGATTGCCTAGGCAAATGAATGAGTCGGCTTCAGTAACCATGTTCAGAATTGTTTAGTAAATCGAGCTTCAACTTTGATAGATCGTATTATGCTCCGTAACTTCCCAAGTGGGACGTGGTTCAAAATCATATATGATTAATTGGGAGTTACATGTATAAAACTAGCGCAACTCCTTGAAAAGAATATCGCTTAAAATCTTCGACGATTGGTTTAAGATATACGAATTCTGATTATTCAAACTGTAGTCTTCGGTTAGCTCTCAACAGTAAAAATAGGAGGTTGATCAACTTGTGTTAATTTTTAATGTAGTTATCTTCCTGAATATGTTTACTGAATAAGCTGCTATCATTTGTTGCAATAACGAATTCTAGTCCTTGATTACTAAAACAATCTATATTCCACCTGCAGTTGGTTTGGCTGCAGCATACAAATCCATGTGACGGCGTCTAAGGCAACTAGTCATGGAAAAAGTTAAGAGATTGGAGTGATAAACTTCGAAATTATTCATATCATATCAGTATGTCAGTATCTTCCCTACGATAAGGCAAAGGAAAAAGGTTGAGTCATTTTAATCTCTCTTCATAGGAAAGGTGACCAAGTTCCACTTTGTTGGTTTTTTGAAGTATAAGCTGAATGTGATTATCTGTATGACCCCTTACATAATGAAGACCTAATATAATCCACATCCTCTTCATAGCTTTTCAAAGTCATTCGAAGTTAGTATTCGAAATGCTTCAGCTGCATTGCAGTGCACTGTTGTTTCAAAATCGCATTTCGAGCAACCTCCAAGTCATTTTGTTCCAGAACATTAGGCAAGGATAATTTGTCTTCTGGATAATGACTAGACTCTACCTGACCAGCGAGCATGATTGCAGTTTTGCTATAATCGTTCCCAAAACTGTCGCTTAAGCCATTGAGTCAATTCATTTAACTACATATGTCCAAAGAAAAGTTCATTAAGCTTAGTTTTCACTCTTCTTCCTTTATTAGCAGTAGATCCATCAAAAAGAAACATCCAAATCAAAATTCGTTTTGATTCTACGTCAAGAGAGCATGTGTATCAACATCTAGCATTTGTTCCCAAACTGTTTTCTTTAACACCTCAGCAACTACAGTATTTCAGCTAACGGGTTAGTATTCAGTTTCTGCTTGTATGTCGTCACTTAAATATAAGAGCATTTGTATTATTTAGTTAGAATAAACTTGGTACAGCATGAGCACATAAAAATGCACCGTCCACAACATGACAACAACAACATAAAGGCAACATAGAAAGAAAGGGTAGGAATAAAACAAAAACAAATGAAAGAGGAAATGGGCTTTTAAAAAGGCGATCTCAAGTATAAATTCAAAGGGCTTTCATAGCTTTCGTTTTACTTCATAAGAACAAAAGAAATAAAAAAGCTGGATCATGATCGCCACTAATTTTGGTTCTGAGCTATATATTGTATCGCTTTAGGCCAGAGTTGGATTGTCTTTCTAACCTTATTCAAGGAGTTATGCGGCTTGGCACCATCTCCAGTCTGCTTCAAAGACAGCGTTGAAGACCGTCACTGACCCTCAAATAAATGCTAGGGAAAAAAATTGAAATCTACTCAGCACACATCCTTACAGTAGGTAGGTAGCCATACATATTATTCAAGGTTTAATGATACCACCAGGCTACCCAAGCCTCGATAGGTGCAACCGGGTTCGAACCCGTGCCCCATCAGTTGGAAATTGAGTGCTTAGACCAATGAGATAGCTCTAGCTAGGTAGGGTCAGTAAATCACAGAAGCTTCTGAAACAGCTGATGTGTGGACACATTCCCACAGGCTCCAAGCGCAATGAGTAGCGGGAACAACTCGAATGTAGGCTAAAAGTTTATGCAACGATTGTGAGGAGCAGTGGAGAGTGGGGGTTACAGTGATAGAAAAGCCAGTGATGACAGGTAGCAACAGACAGTTAGTTCGACTGATCTGGGAAACTGGATGGAGAAAGGTCAGTAGTCATTGTTACCATAGCGGTGAAGAACGCATACACGTAGAAGAGAAAACTGTAGGGATGGACAAAGCACTTTGAGGAACAGTCCGGCATGTCTTGGGCTAATCTCTTGTTGCCAGCTGTCGAGTCGAATCCTGAATGAAACAGTGGCGTGCATCCTCCAACCATTCCAGAATTTGAAAAAGCTATAAGTAATCTGAAACGAGGAAAATTGAAGTCAAGATGCACTCAGCAATTTTGTGCACATTCATGCAGTAGGCAATGAGCCAGACCTATTGTTTGAGAGCCATTAATACGACCTGGTTACCAAAAATCTCGTTAGGTGCAGCAAGACTTGGACTTGTTACCCATTGGTTGAAATTCATCTCCCTAAACCAGTGAGCCACAGCTCCACATGAGGGAAATCGATGGCGTCTAATGGGCTAGTGCAAGAGGCATTTGAGGATTGTATTCGAAGAACTTAGACCTGAAGAACCTATGTGGCTAGCGCGTGTCTCCTCTCACTTGTCTCAAACACTGATTATCTCAGTGTTTCAGAAAGGAAATAGATCCTCCTGTAATAACCACAGGAGAGAAAATCAGCCTGACGAACACGGTTTCTACCATTCTAGGTTCCATAATTATCAGATGTCCGAATGACATTTAGTAAGAACAAACCCGAGAAAACCACGCAGGTTTCATACGTAAATGTGGGGATGTTGACCAGAGACTTACCTTCTGCCGGGTTTTGAAACACAGTCGCATTTACCGAAACCTGTTACCAGCCGCATTTGTCGACCTGAAGGTGACATTCGACTACATCGGTCGGGAGGCTTTTTGGAATTAACTCTCGCTAAAGCGGTGAAGAGTAAATACATCACCTTGTTGAAGGCTCTATATCCAAACAGCAGTTAAAGCAGTGGTGACATACCAGATGAATTGTATACACTAGGTGTTATATGGCAAAAATATCGACTCTCTACATTCTCATTCAACTGTAATAAAGATACTTGTGGAGGTCTCCCCATCGTCGTCTGATTACATGGATTAGTGTTGAAGCATGTGACTGCATAGATGACCTAGAGCATGCACACAACATAGCCATGTTTAGTGAAATAAAGCCAAAACGAAGGTAGAAGGTAGCATGAAAATGAAATAGTTGAAGTTGCAACACTTCACACCTAACATGCAAAGAAAAACTGAATAGAAAAAACTGATATATGGTTAGGCAAAGGCATATAGGTGGAGAAGAAATTTGAAAATGAAGGTTCGTGAAAGTACTCACCCTTTAGAAGACCCCAAAAGAGTAGACACATCTGCGCCTTTGTGACCGATTTTCAGCCATTTCATCTGCGGTCTGACACCAGTAATTCCTATCGTTTCGAGGACACCCAACCAACAGGTTGTCTGCACGTGGATCAAACCTACAGTGAGAGACTTCATGAACTGTTAAAATGTCTTAGTATGACCACGCATGAGCCTTTTTTCGACCCAATCCAACTTCAGCTATCATTGCACATTGAGTTAGGCGGTAGGTCGGCGTGCGACACCTATTACCAAGCCATCTCAATTGCCGAAGATTCACAACTTCATCGAATAACTTGCCTTCCCTGCCTACTACTCATCGCTTAACCTCGACATTGTTCACACGCTGATTTAACTACACGCGAGCAATACTAGAAACACATTTGTGTTCAAATACTTGCAATCTCTTCGCGCCATCTACTTTCAAAGGCCATATCCCATAGCCGCATAATAATGCAGACTACTCGTCCTTTGAAAAGTAGTCGGATATCTCGTCAGTCGGCTTTGATGATAACGTACGCTGGGAAATGTCGAAAGACCCTTCTATGTCCGAGCTGAGATTTCGTCAGCAATAGGCGCGTTCAGGTTGATGCAACTCCTCAAGTAAGTGAAGTGGTCAACGCATTCTACCACTGCACCCCCATTCTTAAATTGAGGGTAGCTCCAGACCAGTTGTGAAGCCATGATCTTACATTTCACTTGTGTAAAACGTGTGCCGAACATGCTCAGGTTTCCGCTCAAGTTGTTCAGAAGACCCTGTCTTCTGTCAGCGTCTTCGCCTAACAAGAAAATGTCGTCTGCGTACTCCAAGTTAACCAGATGCCCTCCACGAAGTAGGTCAGTCTCTGTAAAATCAGGGGCACCTGCAGTTATTAATTCGTCTATAACGAAGTTAAGCAGGGACGGAGATAGTGAGTATTCCTGACAGACACCAATCGTTGTCATCACTACGGATGACAATTCTTCATTAGCCCTTACACTGTTGCATGACCTTGAGTAGAAAGTTTTGATTAGCTTCACATACTTGTTCGTTACTCCCCTCACAGTCAGACACAGACACCACCTCTCAGGCGACAGAGTCGAATATCGTCTTCAGGTGGAGAGAGATGGGGAGTGTCGAGTGCCACCAAGTATGTCCATGCTCCCGAACCTGTCAAAGGTGACAATCTGGTTTTGTGCTTTTTTGTTGTTAAACGTTTCTCTTTTTTTCATAATGATTGTTGCATCAATCTGGCTCTGTTGGTCATGTACGGGAGATACCTTACTGTTTGTTGTCCAGACCTTCTTAAGTGGAGTGGTGTTTGCAATCTTGAGCCACGGGTTTAAAGTCGAATGCATAGACCAATGAGTCACTGATTAGTTGGGACGTGGATTACGCATGCTGAGCCACAATATACCGTGACACTTGATTACCGGGGAATTGTTTGGATTAGAATAGGGCTTGGAACGATGCAAGGCTATGGAAACTGCAATTCTTAAGATTTTTCGAAGTGAAACTCTTTTTTTTAGGGAATTGTATGGTTTGTGTTCGTGTCCTGAGACAATCAAGATGGTTGATAAAAGACTAGGTTGCGTGGCATATGACAAACCTCAGTGACGAATGTGTCGCCTCCCCATTTTAATCTAATTCCTGTTTTACATACTAAGCTTATCGTATTGAGTTCGCATCAGAGTGAGTGGATATATTCAAGTATTAAAACATTCATCTCAGCAGACTATTTGTTCTGTTTCAACCAACCAGAATAAAAAAAGTAGATGTAGATAAATTTCTTTTGAGTATTCTTCCATGATATATTCTCAGGAATAATGCTTGTCTTCACAAAGCTGTTGCTCAGTTGGTGTGAAAAATATAGAATTCGTTTTTGCCTACAGATTGTTTCTAGTCGTCACCTATGGTACTGAGTAAAGCTGTGGTTGATATATATGATTCTGCTTGAAACTTTTACTAATGAAGTATGGAAATAATGCTTTTATTACACGGGTAATAGAAAAGAAACAGTTGTTTAAATAGATGCAGAACATATGAAAAACAGTATAAATGTGAGAAATAAAATATTCGTTCGTATCTGGAAAAGACGACAAGCAGACCAAACCAACTGAAGGTATTAAATTGACCTATTCTGTTGTTGTTAATCTCACTTAACATCCAGTATTATCAAGACTGGTATTACTAGTTTATCTAAAGGTTTAATGATACGACTTATCCTAAACCTGTCATTTTCCATGATAACTTTGCTGTTCTTTGTTTACACAGGATTTGTCCTCTGAGAAAATTTCATTTTGATCCCATTCTTTTCGCTGTACGTGTGGTTAATGTGCCGCCGTTTGCTGAATCTGTCACAGAAGGAGATATTGTGTGGAAAAAGGCGGTTGGTGATGCTGTGGAGGCAGATGATGTGGTCGCGGAGATCGAAACTGACAAAACAAATGTTCCAGTCCCTGCCCCTTGTGCGGGTGTGATAACGCAGTTATTAGTTGAAGATGGGGGAAAAGTTTGTGCTGGTCAGGAAATATTTAAAATGGAAGAAGGTGCTGTCTCGACTTCCAAATCACCTGAAAAGAAACCAGTTCAAGAGTCTGAGCAGAAACAACTTAGAGACAAACCTACTTCCACTCCATCTTCAAAGCCTGCAGCTGTCTCTTCACCTGTACCCACAACGGAAAAAGCTTCTACACCTAGGGTTTCCGACACTGCTACAAGTCCTTCTGTGACACAGTCACATACACTATCTTCCGATGATGCACGTTCAGAACAGCGTGTTAAGATGAGCCGAATGAGACTTCGCATCGCTCAAAGACTAAAAGACGCTCAAAATACATGTGCAATGTTGAGTACGTTCAATGAAATCGATATGTCAAATCTTTTTGAACTCAGACGTCAATATAAAGACACTTTTTTGAAAAACCACGGTGTCAAGTTAGGAATGATGTCCACATTTGCGAAAGCTTCCGCTATCGCCCTCATGGACCAACCAGCTGTCAACGCTGTTATTGACGGTTCTGACATTATTTACAGAGACTATGTCGATATTAGTATTGCAGTAGCCACTCCTAAAGGGCTTGTTGTTCCTGTGTTGCGCAATGTTGAGAAAATGAATTATGCTGATATTGAGCGTGGGATTCATGATATGGGTGTAAAGGCTCGTGATGGGAAGTTGGCTGTCGAAGATATGGATGGCGGTACTTTTACAATCAGTAACGGTGGTGTATTTGGCTCCTTGTTTGGTACCCCTATAATCAATCCACCCCAATCAGCAATTTTGGGTTTATATGGTGTATTTGACCGACCTGTTGCACGAAATGGGCAGGTTGTTATTCGTCCGATGATGTATGTTGCACTAACTTATGATCATCGTTTGATTGATGGACGTGAAGCAGTTTTATTTTTACGCAAAATCAAGGAATTTGTTGAAGATCCACGAACATACTTCCTTCAAATTTAAATGTGCATAGTGTTTTTTCTGTGACAAAAGTAGGTTGATATAAAAACTTTTTTTTGGCCTTTCAAGTAGTTTGTTTGCACCATCTCCCATATTTGGATTTCTATAACTCTAGTAAACGTTAGTTTATGTATACATTTACTTACCTATACGTGCATAAGCTATCTTCATGAACCACCAACTTAAACTGTTTCTAACTAGAATGTGGATAATTTTTTGTTAGTTTCAGAATAACTTTGGTCGGTTTCTTAGATTTTTTCACAACATAACTTGTACATTTGTGACTCACTCTTCAGGTATGCAACTTTGTAGTTTTAACTCCTTGAGATAAGCTTTTCAAATACTTTTTTTTCCATTTTGTCCTTGATTCTTATATGTACGTGGTAATTTTTAAAAAGCGATGACAATAAATAGTAAATTAATCAGACAGGTTGATGGCGATTTTATGCATTTTGATCACATTTTCATTTTATCTGAAGTTAGGTGGTAGTCATTTTGTGCCATAACACTAAAGATGGTTGGGGAATTGTAATATTTTGTTGAAGTTTGTTGTTTTCTCCAAGCTGCTCTAAGCTGCTACTCAGCTTTAACAATGCCAGGTGGTACGCTGGATTTTCACATGTTTATCGTATAACTTGAAAGTAAACCTAGTGCATCTGGTGTCTTCTTTGTAGGTTATCAGTGAGACGTTATGAGTTCCAGTTTATCTCTCAAATAAATAGTATGGTGTAGATTTCTTCATGTGTGGGCTTACTTTTATCAGCAACATGCATTGATACTTGTAGAAACTCGACGCCTAACTGTAACTCCAGAACAGCAAACTGGAGAAAACCGGGCAGGTTTCAAACCTGGACGGGAATGCACCGATTAGGTTTTCATTTATTGACAAGTTCTGAAGCATGGACATACTTGGTGGCACTCGACACTCCCCATCTCTCTCCACCTGAAGACGATATTCGACTCTGTCGCCTGAGAGGTGGTGTCTGTGTCTGACTGTGAGGGGAGTAACGAACAAGTATGTGAAGCTAATCAAAACTTTCTACTCAAGGTCATGCAACAGTGTAAGGGCTAATGAAGAATTGTCATCCGTAGTGATGACAACGATTGGTGTCTGTCAGGAATACTCACTATCTCCGTCCCTGCTTAACTTCGTTATAGACGAATTAATAACTGCAGGTGCCCCTGATTTTACAGAGACTGACCTACTTCGTGGAGGGCATCTGGTTAACTTGGAGTACGCAGACGACATTTTCTTGTTAGGCGAAGACGCTGACAGAAGACAGGGTCTTCTGAACAACTTGAGCGGAAACCTGAGCATGTTCGGCACACGTTTTACACAAGTGAAATGTAAGATCATGGCTTCACAACTGGTCTGGAGCTACCCTCAATTTAAGAATGGGGGTGCAGTGGTAGAATGCGTTGACCACTTCACTTACTTGAGGAGTTGCATCAACCTGAACGCGCCTATTGCTGACGAAATCTCAGCTCGGACATAGAAGGGTCTTTCGACATTTCCCAGCGTACGTTATCATCAAAGCCGACTGACGAGATATCCGACTACTTTTCAAAGGACGAGTAGTCTGCATTATTATGCGGCTATGGGATATGGCCTTTGAAAGTAGATGGCGCGAAGAGATTGCAAGTATTTGAACACAAATGTGTTTCTAGTATTGCTCGCGTGTAGTTAAATCAGCGTGTGAACAATGTCGAGGTTAAGCGATGAGTAGTAGGCAGGGAAGGCAAGTTATTCGATGAAGTTGTGAATCTTCGGCAATTGAGATGGCTTGGTAATAGGTGTCGCACGCCGACCTACCGCCTAACTCAATGTGCAATGATAGCTGAAGTTGGATTGGGTCGAAAAAAGGCTCATGCGTGGTCATACTAAGACATTTTAACAGTTCATGAAGTCTCTCACTGTAGGTTTGATCCACGTGCAGACAACCTGTTGGTTGGGTGTCCTCGAAACGATAGGAATTACTGGTGTCAGACCGCAGATGAAATGGCTGAAAATCGGTCACAAAGGCGCAGATGTGTCTACTCTTTTGGGGTCTTCTAAAGGGTGAGTACTTTCACGAACCTTCATTTTCAAATTTCTTCTCCACCTATATGCCTTTGCCTAACCATATATCAGTTTTTTCTACTCAATTTTTGTCTGGGACTTAAACTGCTTCATTTTCCTGCTTTTTTTCGCTTGTCTGTTTTACTGTTATAGTTTTGTTGACATGCGTGCTGTTTTAGAGATACTGAGTGTTGTTATTGGAAACCTCATTTCTTGGTGAGTCTTAGTGTACGCAGTCATTTTTTAGCCAGTTTTATGGAAATGATTTGTTAGGTAATTGTGAAGGGGTAGCTCAGTTCAATTTTTCTGTCCGCTCGTTTGTTGAAAAGTGGAGCGCTTTTTTATTTCCCTAATGTGTTTATCGAAATGGTCGGTTTTGATTACTTTTAATTATTCTCTGATGTTTGATGAATCGCGTAAAATTTCTGTCACGCAACTTACAGAAGCTTACAAGAAACTGGGACCTCTATGAGCTGCACTTTCGCTTCCTATATTTTGTTTTTTTTGTCAGTAACTGCCATTTGTTATACATATTTTCGGGAACGAATTTGTCTTAGACTTGAATCTATTCACCTCTATATTAACAACTCTTGGGTTTATTACATCTGTGGCATGTAGTTAGAATGTTTTTGCGTCAGTTGTGTGATTTCTTTCCCGAATTGTAGATTGTTGTGAAAAGGAATGTGTGATGGTGAACATGTTCATATGTTAGAATTAAGATGAATACTATTAATTTATGTAGCTCAACCCAGTATGTGTTTGTGTATTAGGTTATTAGTTATCCCTGGCGTATGCTTATGATTTTACGTAGTCGACCAAGGAAAAGTCGATGGAGAGGGTTTTTGACATCGCACTCTTTGTTGGATGGCCAATTGCTTAAAACAACGACCTACGTCTTCACAAACGGTGTACGCCACCATCTTGTTGGAAAAGTCGAGTAAATATCTTCAAGGGAAATCCTTTGAATTGAACCGTATAATCTCCACCTCTGCCCGACTGTATTGTCAATAAGGTGATCACTCTGATCTGATTGACAAAATCCACGGATCAACCTGAGTTGTTTCTAACTACTCAAGTTGTCCAGTATTAGATTTCTTACTGGCATGTTTGTTCATTGGTGTACTCTGAAGATCAGTTGTGAGAATAAACAACATAAAAGCTAACGGCGTCTTTTAACGGTTTGTGGATATTCAGTCTTCTAAATTACTAAGTGTCATAGAATTCTTTCTTCATCGCTTTATTTTCACCAACTGTATTGATGGATCATGACTAAATTAGTAATTAAGTCAGTTTATTCCCTGATTTTTATCTAGTTTAGTTGAAACTGCTTAAGTCAGCATTTCAGAAGTGGAGCATATAATTTTAGATATTTTTCTGAAGTATATTTTTCATTGAGATATATACAATGGTTATAAAATCTCTAAGGCAACTTTATTTCAAATGATTTCACTCTTCTCCTATCTTCATCCATTTATGAACAGGCATTACACTTGACTTAGTTTTATTCCATACCAAACAGTTGATCTATTCATTCCGACTAAAATTTCATCTTTACCAAATGGCTCATATTAAGATCTTGATATGACTATGGACAATAAATTATGTCCGAAACGTAATCCAGTAAACAATACTGTTACACTGTGATAAATTTAATAAATCAATAAAAATGGAATTCTGGTTATTATCTTTTAAAGTCGTTGTGAGTAACTACGACTTTGAAAGTATGTTCATTATTACACCACATAGTCTATTCACGCATTTTTCTGTTATCAATATTTCAGCCTTGATTATACTTCCGTCTGTAGTACTCTGATATTCATGATGGCGCTAAATGGAGCAAGAACAACCGGTTATAGTCAGTTTTTCTAGCTATATCAAGGACCACAAATTGAGTGGATATCGCTATGTCGTATTGTATCAGAATGTTTACCGCAGTTCTCATATACTTCCACATTTTAAATAGCGGCATAATGATGTCAATTCCCATGATTTGGTCGTTGGAGAATGTGGAATATTCATATTATCACAAACTTGTCTATTAAGAATAATAAAAAGTACTTTGAATTTCCTTGATAATAACATTTTCCATCATTGTTTAAAAGTGTCCAGACATAATGATGAGGTAATTGGTTGTGGCTAGCAAAGGAATCCAGGACGAGTGTTTCGTCCTGTTTGGGACTCGTCAGCCAGATGTACCTGCACCCCAATGAGTGATGTTGTTCCCACTGAGACAATATCGAGGCATCCGCATAGGAGCCCATATGCCAACAGAGGTCGAACAATTTGATCCAATAAAACAACGGAAAATTACAAGTACACCAATAGATAATCATAAAATGATGAGGCTTGATTTTTTTTTATTACCACGAATTATCGTTGAATATTGTTATCTAGACAAATAATTTTGATGTGGTTAGAAAAGTTGCTTATAAAAATCTCAAAAATTCGCTAAACTATCCAATGTTAAACAGTTGGTCATGTGTTCAACAACTTTTTTTTCTAAATACATCAATAAAAGTGTATATGAGCTTAATTCGGAATAGCTTGTTTGGTGAAATAGAATCACTTTTTCATTGACCTAATTTTCTTTAGTTATTTGTCAAGTTTTCTCTGAGGCTCATAAACAAAATGACCTAGAAGTATTTACGTTTGTAATCTGCTGAATATAAAATATTGTTGTTTATAATGGATCTGCTGATCTTCCGATGCGCTTTCTCCTGGCTGACGCAACGTTTTAGAAATCTGTTCTTATAAAGATTATGAGGTTTAGAGCTTAGTGTTATATCAGAAAACAACAGACGTATATTAAAATACGGTTAGAAGTCCAACTAATTCGTAAGTATTCATCTTGTACGTAATGTCTTCTCATGATTGCCTTTTTCTTCGTAAAATACACATAAGCATGGTATATATACAGTGTGAATATTTTTTTCAATTTATGAAA